GGTCGCACTCATTAGCAATGTTTACCAATAAAAACTTTATCCTTCATTTTCTACACGCTAATCTCTTTCGTCAAAGTCAGTCAATAAAGAGAATCGGGTTGTCCCTTTTTTAAGGAAAAAAAAGGCTAAATTCTTTCTTCCGGGAAAAAAAATGATGCTTGGGAATCATTGTTTCTGACGTTGTCTAACTATTCCTTGTAAAAGTTTTATTATATAACTTTTTGAAAAGATAACCATAAAGAAACTTTTCTATGGCTACTTTCCGCTCACCTATACCTTTTTGTGAAAATCTATCAATAAAGACATTCCCGTGGGTATCCTCATGGAAAAAGAGATCCAAATTTTTTTTCTTCGAAGAAGAAAAGATGCTCGGGGAAATCATTGTGTTAATATCCTTAAATTTCGCAATTGTGTAATTAACAAACTCACCCTTCGAAGTTTTATAAACATCACAAATTCCTTTAAGGTTAGTCATAATATCTAAGTTGACCTAAAAATGTGAAAAATAAATTGGGATGACTAAAAATTTTACAACAAAGTAACAATAATTTTGGATAAAATTCCTCAAAATTCTTATCAAACATGAAGAAAACTAGCAAAATATATAATTCACATCAATCATTTATATATTTGTGATACTTTTGAATGTGTATTCGTGTTCAATGCGGTTGGTAACTTTGAATCATTTACATTTTTAACATTATGTTCAATTAGATAATTGTAACTAAAGTCTTTTTTGCGACTATTTATTGGTGTATTTAGAAATTTGTGTTAAACTTGATCAACTATTGGGTTTTGTAATTGAATAATGCTATACTTATAAAAAAATCTTACAAAGATTTTCGTACAAAGTGATGTGGCAAAAAATGAATAGAAAAGTGAATATAATGAGTTTGACTTTTCGTTTCACTCTGTCATTCATTTTTTGCTAACCCTCGTTGTATGAAAATCTTTGTAAGATTTCTTTGTAAGTATTGTATTATTGTTTGTAATTATACATGTTATATTGAGTACTATAACTGTGAGACATTTTGTAAATTTTTGATGTGAATTATATATGAAAATCAACGAGTAGATTCCGGTTCCAAATTTTTGGAACTAGAATCGGGAACCGAGATTAATATAAAATAAAATTAGAGAGTAAGGCGGTTAATAAAAACTTTTGTAGAAAAAGTAATGTAAATACATTTATATTTATATTTCATAACATTTAAAATAAATTAGTTTAACTTTTGAGAATCTATCTTTACAAAATAATGAAGTTTGTAATTTTGAATTTATAATTTGTAATTTTATTTTTGTTAACAAGCGCGAGGTGGGGAGGTATTCGTAAGTTTTTAAGGGTTTTTTTTTTCCATTTTAAAAACTTTTGGGGGCTCATGAACTTTACAAGGTACCTAGAACCGGAATCGTTATTACAGGTTCTGATTCTGGGTACCAAGGAACTGGAACAGTCGATTTCGGTTCCGGTTCCAAATTTCAAGGAGCCGTCAATTCTGGTTCTGGTTTCGGTTTCGATTCCTTCAAAAATGCAGGGCACCCAAAACCGAACACCCCTAACTACTAGCGAGTGCTAGTGGGTTGGGTGGATATGGGTTTTTTTGTTAATTTATAAACTTTTATTTTGAAAAGTAATTATTCAATGTTTTGAGTTAAATAGAATAGAATAGAATTGGATTTTGAATTGAATTGAATAGTCAATATTAAAAAAACACGTTTTTCACTTGATTGGATAGGATGGTAGAATAGAATAATGTATGAAAAGTGTACCAAACACAACTTTAGATTTTTTAGTTGTTTTCTTTAACCTGGTTTTTTATTAATATTTTCTTTTAATCAATTTAGAGGGTTATATAATATTTTCAATTAATTATAAATGTGTTTAATATTAATCAATATCTTCCAAAATATAAATAAATAAATAATTTAATAAATTTTGACATTGGACAATTTGGAGTTTTGGACTTGTAATTTCATATATTTAAGATGAAGAGTTCCATTTTCTATGTAACACCAAACTTGGTCTTATAATAGACTTGTTCATCTATTAGCTGATGTTAATATATTAATAGTTTATATTTAATTTACAGATTAGAAAATTTAATGTAAAGTATCAACATAGTATATTTTATTTATGTTTAAGAATAAATTAATAGGATTCATTATAAGCTATAATTCATTAATTCATTACATTAATAATAATAAAAATAATAAAACTTCACATAGTGGAAATATTATTCCATTATTGAAGGTTTTAGTAGTGATTAGTTTTATAAATTCAAGAAACATATCAAAAATTAATAATTTTATGACTTTTTCTTAAATTGCATAATTATGGTGATTATAATTGGCACTAATAATAAGGGAAATCAATTACATAACATATATAAACCTAAACACATTTCATAACAGGTAACTAAATTACTTAATTTGTTAATTAGAGAGAGAGAGACTGAGAGAGGGATATATTATTGAGATCATTTTGAATTATTAATATTTACTCAAAATATTAAGTATCCTTATAAAACATAATAAATTATTAATCTTTAATCAAATATCAAAATATATTAACTTTATGTCTTACAGTTACTTTTATTACATAAATTAAAATATTCAATAATAAATTTAAGATAACAATTGCAAAATTTGATTGCATCACATGATTTATGGGATGATCATTTTACACAAAATCTATTATATTATACAGAACTTTATAAAACATATAATTAATTAATTATATATTTTCTGGGTAGGGCGAGGTGGGGATACACGCATCCCCAAACCCACCTCACCCCGCCATCGGGGAATATTATTCTCCTCTTCGACTCCATCCCTGAAGTTTTAGGGGAATCTCTGACTTGTTCGAGGCGAAGCGGCTAAAACGCCCATCTCTAAATTCAATATATTAGATAATATGGGATGTATCCTTTTATAATAACTAAAATTTGAGTGCCTCTTTGTGATATAACCTAAATATTGTCCTTTTCTACAATTAGTAATCGCTAAACCAATGCAATTCCCCCACATTGATTAAAGAATCTATTCTTCATATGAGCAAATATATTTATTTGTTACCCCACATCTATCAAAGGAAATCACAAATTAATTTGAAAAATAAATGATAGTTAATTATATTTATTTTTTGTGAATAAATCTCGACAATATAAGCATCAAATATTGAAAAAAAATATCATACACCAGATGGTATACCAAGCTTTTACCTTCTAAATTAATTTTTCCCTCTTATACATTAAAAAAACTTTAACTATGATAACAAATACATATCAACTATAGTAGAATATTATCAAGTTGTGTTTTATGAGAGATTAAATTATTAAGAGATGACAAAAAAGGTAATATATATATCCTCTCATGTAACTTGTACAACCACATAATTCTTTTTGTTTAATGAAAACATCTAACAGGAGAGTCTGATTTTCGAAACCCTTCTTTTTTTTTTTTCTTTTTTTTCTTTGTTTTTTTCCCTCTCCTTGTTTTTATTGAAAAAGGACTTGAACCTTTGATCTTGAATCTGTATCCAAGGGCTACACACAAAAGTAATGAATTATGATAAATGAGAAGAATGATTTGGTTTTTTTTTTTTCCTTAAATTTTTTAAGTTAGAGTGATGTTAGTTTACATTTTAAATTAATGTATAGGCCCACTCCATTGGTTTTTTTTTTTAAAAAAAAAAAATTATTCTTTTCATTTTACATATATCATTTTATAAAAGCAAAAGCAATTTAAAAATTAACAAAAACAAACATATGAAGACTTATAATAAAACTTGATTATTCATAAAGTTGGATCAAAAGTAATTAAGGGAGAAGTTAGAGCAATCCCAAACTAAACCTAAATATATTAGTAAAAATCTTTTAAACCACAAAATGACTATCTGATCCTTCAAAATCCTAAATCCACACACCCACTGGCCACCACCATTTGAGGCTGTTTGACATTGTAACTGTTGCTAAAGGTTTTTTGCAACCTTTTGGCAATTGTTGAAGGTTGTTTTTTGCCTCATGGCAACTGCATGAGGCCATAAAAGGCCTAGCAATGGTTGTGAGATATCACTTTTTGCCTTGCGACAGTCGTACAAAGTCAGATCCAGACTCGTTATTATTAGGTGTAAGCTCAACATAGGTATGCAAGGTAAAAGATACCCCTCACTAATGGAAATATAAAAAATACCAACATAATAATAAAAATTAATAACAAAACTAACGAAACGTGGCCTATTGTCCAATTTTCGAAACCAATGAGTCTTTGTACAAACTCACGATATGTTTAGAAGTTTATATAATTACACCTTTTTTTTAACTCCGTCAAATAACTCAACATTTCATTGTTTCCATTTTCTTTTTCCACAAATTTTAGAAACTAAATCAACAAAATATAACTTACCATGACTTAAATTTCTTTTAATCTATAAAACTCTGCTCACCATAACATGAATTTCTTTAATCTACAAGACTCCTATATTTTGTGGAAGCTTTTTTTTTTTTTTTTTTTTTTCTCCAAGATCCACTGAATACTCTACAAATCCAATAAATCGGATAACTTACAAATATGATAAGTGATCAATGTTGGGACTCGAAGACAAGACTTATGGGTAATTCATCATAACTAAAATCTTGTCATCCAAAGTGGTTTATTAAAGGTTTACTTTGTTAAACACAATTATTAAAAGCTTTTCTATAACATGCTTCAAGTATTTTTATAATTCAAGAACGTAAAAAACAAAAAATCTAATATGTCCTTAAGATGAGAAAATTTACTAGAGAATAAAATTATCAAATGTATTAAATGAAAATATACAATGAATCAAATTTCGCTTCTTTTTTTTTTAATTAATAAATTTTATTATTTCAGTTTATTATTGTTTAAGTTGGCCCAGTAATAAAATAAATCTTCGTTCCACCGCTTTCGTCCCTTTAAATTTCCATCCCTTTATGCGAGTAGGGTTCAATACTAAACCCTCAATCCCTCGTCATGGCCGAAAGAAATTCAGATCCATTTACTCCTTCTTTCCCGATCTTTAGTGGAGAAAAATACGATATATGGAGTACTAAGATGGAGACATACTTTTGGTCCCGAAACTTATGGGACATTGTTGACAAAGGAATTCCTACTTTTGGGAACATTTTTGTTCTATCTGAGCGCAAACAGAAGCCGCTGAAAGAAAGTGTACAGAAAAATGCAGCAGCACTTTTCATACTTCAACAAGCCGTGGATGATAATATTTTTTTTAAAATTTCTAGAGCTCAGACCGCGAAAGCAGCATGGGACGCTTTGAAAACAGAGTTCCAAGGCAATCCACAGGTACACACTGTCAAACTGTAATAATCTCTTCTTCATTAACACCGGTTATCCTCTCTTCTTCGTCACAGCTAATTAATTGCCTCTTCTTCATCAGTCCACCGCATTACCAGATCAGCAGAGGGGTAAGTAGTCGAAAAAAAATTCATAAGTAAATAATCCAACAAACCACATAAAAACAAGTACGATATTTATCTGTTTGTTTTTACTGCAGAGAATTGCAAGAAATACCTGCCGTTATATAAAGCTATACTCAACGGCAAACTGGAATCTGTAAAAAAATTCTGTCATGACAATGAAAATGCGTTAGAAACGAGGATCACGGTAAACTTGGACACAGCTCTTCATGTAGCTGTTGGGACAGGCAAGACGAATGATATTGTAAAGCATCTATTGACTAAGGTGACACAACTTTCACAGAAAAATACAGAGGGCAACACGGTCCTTTCTGTTGCAGCAATTGTTGGCAACAAAGAAGCAGCCCAAATGATAATGAAAGAAGATAAACGTCGTGAATTATTTACGGCTCCAAACAAATCTGGCAGGATACCTTTGATTGAGGCTGCTCGACATGGCCAAAAAGAGATGGTTACATATTTAATGCAATTCAGCAGCAGATATTTGACCTATGCTACTTCAACACGCTTTAGAGATGATTCTGACGTTTCTTTGGTAAATCTGCTAATAATTGCTGGATTTTATGGTGAGTTAATTCTTTCTTTCTCTTTTAGAAATACTATTGCTAAACAAGAATAACTGATTCCAAGTATATATCAAAGCATATATGCTTAAGCATCCAATTATATTTTTTGCTATTTTCTTCATGTTGAAGTTTGAAATTAATAATCCTAAATTCCTGTCTATTATTTTGTTCCAGACTTGGCACTAGACTTGCTTAAAAAATACGAAAGTTTAGCTACAATGCAGTTATCTACAGGTGAGTCTCTTTTGAGTGCAATAGCTGGAAAGCCGTCTGCATTTCCAAGTGGAAAACGAAGGGAACCAAAGTTTTGGGGATATGTCGACATTGATGATCGTGAGTATTTAGTTCTCACATAATTATTCATTGTCTAATGAATATCTCTGTTATTTATGCGTTTGTTTTCTTCTATTTTTGTTGCTAGCTAGATATAAAAATTTCTCTTCACTTATCATGTATTTATAAGCAATAATATTATTGGGGAGAATATTATAGACTACCTTTAAGGTTTCCAAATTTATTATTGGGATGACAACTTTTGCACTTTTTATCATAGACTATCCTCGAAGTTTAAAATTGTATCATGGATATCTCTCTGCCCTCACTTTGTTATGTTATCATTTGTGATAGATGAGTGAAATAGTAGCTTTGGTCTTACGAGAAAGTGTTAGGGTAAAATGGTAACTTTGGTCTTATAAGAAAATGTTTTGCATACCTAATGACTGTTCAAAGGCAACATGACAAGGTTAGCACAAAAATGGCATCTGTGATAAAAATTTTAAACTTTGAGGGTTCATTTGGTAACGCAAAGGGGTATCCATGATACATTTTCACACTTTGAGGGTAGTCTATGATTAAAAGTACGAAAGTTGTCATCTGAATAATAAATTTGAAAACTTTAAAGGGATAGTGTATGATAGACTACCAATATTCTTGGAGTAGGTAGAATGGAAATAAATTTCTGTACATAGCTGTAATACACCTAACCGATGAAAAAACAAGTGGAATATACGGTGGTGGACTTGGCCTTGGGCCTCGGGCCATGCCCAATCCAGACCCAAGAAAAATTTTAGAATTTTTTTGTAGAATTGTTTTTTATCCCTTAAATTTCAGAGTTTCCTTTTTCCCCTTTGTTCATTAAACTTTACTTTGACCCCCTTAAATGCTATCTGCTGTACACATTTTTATACTTTGGTTTCCTTATTCATTGAACATTACACATTGACCCATGTAATTTCTTGGTTCCACCAGTGGGAATATAACTCATCATGTATTAATAAACAATATTCTTCGAGGTAGTATTCTGCAAATGTAGAAATGGATACTCATATGCATCTTGTTGCCTAAAAGTGAAGATTTTAATATATTTTCCAGTAGATAAACTCAATTTTACATTAAAAATTAAAAATATTTTATTGACTTATTTTAGTATTAGTATAAATATATACAATAAGTGCTCTATATACAAAAGATCTCAATTTTAGATCCCAAGATTTTTCGAAGGTTAGTTAATATTTGTCATAAAAAATAAAAAGGCAACAAACATTCTTGTGGCTTTGATAATATTCCCCTGTTAGTTAATTATTATGGGTAGTATTTACACATTTAATTTTATCTTGGTTTCAATGGATATTAATCAGTTAATTTGTTTTGCCACACAGCAAACCAGCTACTTCAGTGGATTCTAAAACTCTTTGGTATAGAACTCTAAAATGTTCTTTTTACTTAAATATTTTCCTCTGCTGTATATATACAGTTGTGTCATTGTTGAGTTTGTTATAAATTCATTTGCAGCTCCAAGTCATTTAAAGGAAATTCAAGAGACAAAGTCGACGCATCGCATAGTACTTGACCTTGTCAGACGCTTGTGCGAAAAAATTACTGAGGATCCAGATGATTATGAAAGAGTTTCTTCAATACTGAAACGACCGCTCCTTTTAGCAGCAGAGTTGGGGGTTTGTGAAGTCGTAGAAGAGATTATAAACGCATTTCCTGATGCAATCTGGTTTACAAATGAAAAGAATCATAATGTATTTCACTTGGCAGTCATGAACCGTAGAGAGAAGGTATTACAGCTTATATACGACTTGAGGGGTCGCAAACATTTATTATTGCTGTCTGAAGATGTCGATAAGAACAATATCTTGCACTTAGCTGGAAAATTGGCACCAAAAAATCAACTAAATCTCATCCCAAGTGCCGCTCTGCAGATGCAACGTGAGCTACAATGGTTTAAGGCAAGACTCTTGATTCAAGCATTACATGTGTTCGTAAATATTGTTATATTTTATGTGTGTCCAAGAAGTCAATAATCCAAATGTCTTATTTGATTCTCATTTATAATGCTTTTGACTGCATAACTAAATATATTATAATTAAGTTTAAGAAAAGTATAATCATCAGTATAGATAATTCGTTTTAAAAAATTTAAGAGATCAAAATAAAAAAGAGTTAATATTAATGAGTTTTATTTAAATCTTATACAGGAAGTAGAGGGAATGGTACAGCCTGATTACAAAGAAGAGAAAAATTATAATGGGGAAACTCCTGGAATGGTGTTTACTGAGGAACATAAGGTACTCGTTAAAGAAGGGGAGAAATGGATGAAAGATGCAGCAACATCATGCTCAGTAGCAGCAGCACTCGTTGCCACTGTAGTATTTGCAGCTGCAATCACTGTACCCGGTGATTACAACGGTAAAGGGCAACCAATTTTCCAGAGACTGCCACCCTTCACGGTCTTTGGTATTTCAGATGCATTCTCTCTGTTTTCATCGGTCGCTGCCATCATAATGTTCTTGTCCGTCCTTACAGCACGTTACGCAGAAGATGATTTTTATCATTCCCTGCCTAACAGGTTAATACTGGGTCTTGTTATGTTGTTCCTCTCTCTGACATCGCTGATGGTAGCGTTTTGTTCCACTATTTATCTGGTGTTTTGCGAGCAAAGGGAACAGTGGGTACTTATATTAGTGTTTGCATCAGCTTTGCTGCCTATCTCCTTGTTTGTGTATTCGCAATATCCCCTCCTACGGGACGTCTTCAATTCCACATACCGCCCCGGCATTTTTGGCAAGCAATCAATCGACGAGGAAAAAAAATGTGACCGGGCAAGGGAGCCGAACACGGTTGTGGAGGTGGAGGTGGTAACAGGATAAATTTACCATTAGAAATTTGAACTTTTTGGTTGATTCTATGTTTATTATGATTGTAATATGGGGAAGCTATAGCCGGCTTAATTGGAAAAGGGAGGCTGAGGTGGTGTTGGAGGTGGATAGCCGGAAAAGGGAGGCTATGGTAGTGACTTAAATTTTCAATTGAATAAGAAGTTAATATATATATGTTTGTTATTATTCTTATTTTCAAAATGTTACAGTATCATAAAATGAATGTAATTTTATGTTTTAAACTTAAAACTATATTTGAAGTAAAGGAAAATTTTACAACACCTAGAAGAAGATTTTCCTGAAATACAATTTAAACTCCCTATTAGGGTGTTGCTCTCAACCCTTATCATTAGTGAGACATCGCCACTTTTCTCGTTAGTTTTAACAGTAAGGGTAAAATAGTAACTGACTCTTTTATAAATTAACAGTATATATATATATGTATATAACCCTGCATCCTAGTCAAACACCCCACCCTCCACCTTCCTCTCCATTCACTGTGCAATGATCATGTACTCTAAAGTTTTTGCAGAGCCCTTAAGAATCAATTAGTTCCAGTAATCCATTTATCATGAACACTTTAACATTCAAGCAATGTTCTTCTTCCTTCCCATCTTCAGATTAAGCTCCGGACAATTGTATATCACAAACTGCTCCAATTCATTTAGATGTTTTATACCGAATGGAAGCGAGATCAAGGTCAAACAACCTTGGAGAATCAATGTCTTGAGGTTGCTGATAACTTAATCTACCCTTTGCTTCTAGACCTTTTATTTGGCTTTTACTTTTTATCTTTCTTTGTTAAAGTAAATAATAAAGTATTAATTTAAATAGCATGGAAAATCAGAGAGATGCCCAATCAAACCATCTTTGAAGGCATTACTCACAAATTCAAGTATCTTGTCCTAGGTAATTATCATCCGAGCTGTAACCTGCATAATACATGCAACTGCCTTTCGATCCAGCGAGCTCCTTAATCTAACAGAGAATGTACAACTAATTTCTCCCACAAACAACATTTTATCTTCCAACTCTATCCAATCCATCCACCACAGGAACCCATCTTTTGTTTTTATTCATCAAGCTTAAAAGGCTCGACATGACACTCCTGGTACTGAACAATAAAAAACAAATCACAATTTAACTCCATTAAGCGTAGCACTGAAAATTCCCAATATAACTCTAGCTATGCAACAACTTGAGTGACAACCAGAGATTTAGAATCCACAGTTACAGTACGGCCCTTGGAGAGCAAATCATAAAAGTTGTGATTATGATAATTAAATAATATCCTCAAAAATCTCAGGAAACTTGAGTTCCATGTCAATTTTACTCCATTTCTTGTCTACATTTCTCCAGATTCTCAGTTTTTTTCTACACCATATCTCACCATAGCAGCAAACTCACAATCTTTTTCATCAAGAGACGAAGAAAATATCACTTTTGAAACATTTAGCTGTTCTGTAGTTGATTCAAGTTCATGTGATTTAGTTATTTCAGTAACCCGATAATGCAAATAATTTAAGGACTTTGGTAACTGATCAAACAAGTTTTTACATTCTGAGCCAGAAATTGGATCAATGATTTGGACTCTCTGGATTTGACTATTGTACTTTGACACCCAGGTTTGATGACCTTCTTCCTCGTGGGTATTGGAGATTTTGCTGACGGGCTCAATGGCGTAAACAGTGGATACCATTAAGTCAGAACTCATTCTCATCTGGGTTTGCGCCTTTAAGGAAGTCGATCGTGGTTAGAATCGAATCAAAGAATGAGTATTGTTGTGGAGGAAGAGGAATTATGGAGCGAAATGAGCGACAAACAGCACAAAGGCAAAGGATATGGAGTCATAGAGGGAGAATTTACACAATGGAGAAGAGAAGGTCTTCAGAAATACTACTCCAATAGGGTTTGATTTTGACCATGCCTAATAAGAGCTTGGAAATACACATTTAGTTAGTGGTTTTTGGGGATTAATTGTGGGAAATCAGGCTTAATTTGGTAAAGTTGTTTAATATTTTCATAATTGTCTTTTACGGAATCACGGGTGTTTTTTAGTGTTTTTCAGGCTACTAGTGCTTAAATGTTTGCTCGGATGAAGAATCATGTTGGTAACGGAATTAGTGACGAGTGGAAACAAGCGGATCAAGAATCGGAGTTGAATAGAAAAAGTTATGGAAGTTGAAGTAAAGAGAAGATTCTAGATTACGTTCCAGCTTGAGCATATCTTGGTATTTTGAGAATATCTTGAGCTGTAGAATTCGGATTAATACTATTCTTGGACTGTTAGAAAGCTGATTGAAAGTGCTATATTTTATATGTTTACCACTTTTTCAAATTTTATCGTTATCGAGTTCAAAAATCACTATCTTTGAAGAATAGTGGAATGATGCGAGAAGAAGGCCAGTAGCTACTGTGCCGCAGCACAGTGCCGGGGCACAATCACGAAAGCTAAAAACTGGTTATCCGTTTTTAGGTAGGAGAATAGGGTTAAGAGTCCTAAACCAAATAGAATTAAGGAAAATAAAACCCTAACCCTTGTGAGATATAAATAGAAGTCTTTTAGCATTATTTTGGGGGGATTCCTTGGTGAGAAGAAGAGGAGAAAAATTTGCAGAGAAAAGAAGTAACAGAAGTTCTGGAGCTTTGATTCACAATATAGAGAAATTTTCCTTGTTCTTTTCTTATAAACTCATGATTATTATTTTAATAAAGATGATTGTTTCTTTCATGTTTATTATGAACTAATTTATTCTCTAGGGCTAAGATGTAGCCCAATCTCTTGATTATGTATTGATCTTTGATTGTTAATTTTTATTAAGAATTCTTCCTAAGTTTTACTATTATACATAACGCTTTTGATTCTTAAGGACCCAAGAATTGAATGAACTAATGGACTAGGTTGAGATCGAGAGATGATACTTAGTTGGTCTACGGTAATAAAACCAAAGGTTGAGCGAATGCTAGAGATAGGTTACCGTGACTTGTGAGGTTTTGGTAAACTCTATAGAGCGTAATGATCTTCAATTGCTTAAATCTGATTAGAGATAATTCGTGTTAGTAATTAGGGGTTAATTTAATAATTGTTTAAGAGAAAGTTATTGGAAATTTAAGGAGTTTGACCTGTAGGAAGAGCTTAATAAAATTAGCATAAGTGATCGATACATATGAATAAGAGTTGGTGTGAAGTCTATGCCCTAGGTCTAGTCATCTTGTTTTAACCCAAAGGTTTGTTTTAATTGTTCTCTTTTTAATTTCAATTGTTAATTTAGTTTAGATTTTCCTTGATACAATTTGGATTGATCAAATAGTAATAGGATAATTTAATTGGTAATTGATAATAGTAATTCCCTTGGGTTCGATATCCGTATTTATATACTTTATTACTTGCACGATTTCGTACACTTGCGAAAATCAACAACAAGTTTTTGGCGCCGTTGCCGGGGAATTTTATATTATCAATATCAATACAAGCTATATATTTAGTGGCTAATTTGGTTTGTAATTTATTTTTATTTATTTATTTATTATTATTATTATTTTTAGTGCTTTAATTTTTATTTCTGTACTTTTAGTGTTGGACCGTATAGAGGAGTTAGTTTCAATGGCAGATACAGGAAGAGGAGGAGTTCAAAGGGCACTCAAGGATTACTCAAGACCTACTATTGAGGGATGTGCTTCTAGTATTAGGAGACCACCGATTCAAGCAAATACCTTCGAGATAAAGCCAGAAATTATTCAATTGATACAACATTCGGGTCAATTTGCAGGGTTACCTAATGATGATCCCAACCTACATATCGCAAACTTTCTAGAGCTATGCGACACATTTAGACACAATGGAGTATCCGATGATGCAATTAGGCTTAGACTTTTCCCATTCTCTCTTCAGGATAAAGCTAAGGCTTGGTTGATTTCTCTGCCATCAGGAAGTATTACTACATGGAATGAGTTAGCTCAAGCATTCCTTACGAAATTTTTCCCACCTGTCAAGTTTGCTAAGATGAGGAGTGACATCACTAATTTTTTCCAGCAAGATATGGAGTCACTCTATGAAGTTTGGGAGAGATATAAGGATCTCTTACGTAGCTGTCCTCACCATGGGCTGCTAATATCGTCACAAGTACAGACGTTTTACAATGGGTTGCTGCCAAATATACAAGTGATGATTGATGCTGCAAGTGGAGGAGCTCCGAATAATAAAACACTAGAGAAAGCCTATAAATTGATTGAGGTGATGGCTAGCAACAATTACATGAGACCTTTGGAAAGGAATGTTCCTAGGAGAGTAGCGGAAGTGCATGAAGTCGATGGCTACACTGCGTTGGCTACTCAACTTTCAGCCATTCAAAAGCAATTGGGAGTTGCCCTAAAGGTAAATGCTATTAAAACTCATTCTCTAACATGTGAATTTTGTGTAGGAAATCATTTATCTAGAGATTGCCAAGAAGGAAGTCTGTTTGCTCAACCCGAACAAGTGCATTATGTCAACAATTTTCAAAAAGGGCAAGGGAATCCATACTTAAGCACATATACTCCAGCATGGGAAAATCATCCAAATTGTTCTTGGAGTAACAACAATTATCCTAAGCCACCTCCTAGTGTTCAAGTTCAAGAGGCGAAATCAAATTTGGAGGATGTGCTTATAAAGTTTATGGAGGAATCGGGTAAAAGATTTGACAAGAATGAAGCTCAACTTCAGAAATATGAAGTCTTGTTGCAAAATCAATCTGCATCCATAAGGAACCTTGAAACTCAAATGGGACAAATTCATAGTATCTTAGTGGGAAGAGTTCAAGGAATGCTTTCGAGTGATATCAAGAAGAATCCAAAGGAGCAACTCAATGCCATCATGTTGAGAAGTGGCAAGGAGCTAAAAGAATCAAGAAAACTGAGGAAAAAGCTAAAGATATGAAATTGGACAGAACCGACAATGCCTCAACACAATGCCTAGGCACAAAATCCAGAATGAAGAATGCCTCAACACAATGCCTAGGCACAAAACCAGAACTTGAGAACAAAGCCCAAGATGTGAAGAAAGATGAAGCCTCTCTTCTGTATCCTCATAGACTATAGAAGCAAAGATTAGACAAACAATTTGGTAAGTTCATGGATATGTTTAGAAGCTTACACGTAAATATTCTTTTTGTAGATATGTTGGAGCAAATGCCGAAGTATGTCAAGTTCTTAAAAGAGATCCTTACACATAAAAAGAGGTTTGAAGAACATAAGATGGTCATGCTCACCGAGGAATGTAGCGCGTTGCTTCAAAAGAAACTATCACTGAAATTAAAAGATCCAGGGAGTTTTAATATTCCTTGCACAATTGGTAGTTTTTATTTTGATAAAGCTTTATGTGATTTAGGAGCTAGCATTAACTTGATGTCATTTTCTATTTTTAGGAAACTTGGTTTAGAAGAGGTGAAGCCAACCACAATTCATCTTCAATTGGCGGATAGATCCATAACATATCCTAAGGGAGTGGTGGAGGATGTCCTAATAAAGGTAGACAAATTTATCTTTCCAGTAGATTTTGTAGTTCTTGATATGGAAGAAGACCACAACATACCTTTAATATTAGGAAGGCCATTTTTAGCTATGGGTAGCATGCTGATAAATGTTCATAAAGGAAAACTAATCTTGAGGGTAGAGTATGAACAAGTTGAATTTAATGTTTTTGATACTATGAAATTTCCACCCAAGTTAGATACTTGCTTTGAGATTAGCATCTTTGATGATAAAGTAGCTGAGACCTTAGAAGAAAAATACCCTCGTTTACCCCTAGAAAAATGTGTTGTCAATTTTAGGACTTTGGAGGTTGAATTTGAAAGGTAGATGAACAACAATTGAAGCCTTATGTGTATGGTGCATTGAAGGATAGAAGGGTTTGGATTTTCCTAGATGATCCAGATTGAAGGATTTGAAAAGTCGAGCTTACGACTCTAATAAAGTGCTTCTTAGGAGGCAACCCAAGCTCTTTACTTTAATTTTGGTTTTTGTTTTGAATTTATTTTAGATTTTTGTTTAATGTGTTAAGTTGTGATAACTTTGGTTTGGTTTGATATGTTAGTTGTTTATGTTTCACCCATAATTTCTTTTATGCACACTAAATTGGCCAAGAAAGACGCATAGTTTGTTTTCTTTTGACTAGATTCCCAATGACTATTGGATACAACAAACAATATGCATGGCTTCACAAACTACCTCCACATAAATGTTACGCACGAAGAGTATTGTAGTTGTTCTCTTTGCACATTGAGGACAATGTTCATATCTAACGTTGGGGGTAAGGAATTATTTTTTATGGCCAAATTTAGTTTCATTCAATGGACATTTTGAATATCTTTTGCTTTGAATTATCTCTTTAAAAGCTTTTGGGTGAAATTTTTTTAGGTGTGTTGCTCATACATAAGTCATTGATAAGACCATGATAGAGAATTTGTAACATTGAGATTTTATTAACTTTTGCGTAATGTAAAGATGATAGTAGATAACAATTGCATTTAGTTATGACACTCTTAAAAATGGTTTTGATTGGTTGAGTAATTCATAAACTTAGAGACGTTTTATGTGTGTTTTTATGGGCAATAATATTTTTTTTGTGAAAATTGTGCATAAACTCTAGAACCTATTTGATAACCACTTGAGGAGAAATCCTAGAATCTGCATTGCTTAGGATATGATTTAGGCAATTTTCTTTGGAACGATTGAGCATTTCAAGCCAACCTATATTACTTTATCCCTAGTTAACCCTTTGAGCCTATTAGTATACACTTGGTAAGCCTTATTTTTTTGTTGTAAACCTATTATATCTCACCTTGATGATGAAGCCTAAAACACTTTCCAACCCATCTTATTGTGAGAGACTTAATTTAGGGTGACCTTATAAGAAAAGCTCATGAAAAGAAGTGGGGTAGAAGAAAATGAATATATCTTTTGGACCACAACCTGAGTATGTGCAATGAGATAGGATGGGGGTTATGAAAAGAAAAAATGATAGTAGAAGCAAGGTGGAGTAGACGGATTTTTTTTTTTTTTTTTGTTTTTTTTTTTTTTTTGAGTTACTACCTTCCTTAAAAAAAAGAAAAAAAAAAACAAAATTTGCAGAAAAATAGGAAGAAGTAGCTGGGAAGAAGAACTTGAAATGAGGTACCTTACATGAGGGTTTGTGCTAATGTTGGAAGGAAGAGTTCAATCAATGTGAAAGGGTAAAGGGTGAATGAGAAGGGAAGCAAGAAAGAGATTATTCATGGTCATTTACTGTAAAATATTAAGTCTCTTACATTTTGTTAAAAATTCATTTCCGTTCTTTCATAAACCATTAACCTAGCCTAACGTTACAACCATGAAAAAGACCTAATGATCCGAGGTAGTGATTGGATTCTACATTAATGGAGAGTGGTTGGAAAAGTGAGCCTATAGAGTTTGATTGCATATTTGTTTTATTTTCGTACTTTGCCTATGGAAGCTATGCATAAAATCATCTGGGTTTTTGGATGAATGGTTTGTTAATGATTATGAGAGAGTCAATAACAAAAGTGTAGTTGAAATTCACTTATTCTTTGCATTTGCGTGTTGTTAATTATTCTATTTGTTCACATTGACACAATTTTTGGGATGATTATATGTATGGATCCTAAAATGTTTGTTTAAGTTTTTAGTTTTTAGTATAGGTGAGGTTAGGTTTGGATGTTTGTGGGTATCATCGCTGGAAACTCTCACGAGACTATAACTCGTCCAACTAGGGCTGCCTAGGGGTTTAAAAGCTTGTTGCATATGCTAAATGCAATCGTGATAATCTACGGAAGTGATTTAGGATAGTTTAGATATAAACTTTATTTTGTTTGTCTAGTTGAAGTAAAGGATTGTTTATTCAGAAAAGTGGCAATTCATCTGCATGTTAAATTACTTTTAATACATCACACATATCAATCAGCATCTTTTGCTGTAAAATCTGACTCCGGAGGCTTCTATAGCTTCACCAATTCCCGGGCGGTCTTGGCGTTCCTGTTTTGGTGTATACCTTGAAGTGCATTTGCTGCAAACCTGGTAGCTAAGAAGGTGGCACCGATACTATATGAACCTCTGCTTGTGTTGTTTTGGACGCCATCTGATGTTTCTGCTTCTGCTTCTGCTTCTTCTTCTTCCTTGCGGAAATGTTCCATTTTCTTTCTCTTGGAATAATGGCGCCATGCAGCTTGGATGAAGCATGCGGCCCATGTCCTCCACTGTTATGAGTAGAACCTGAAGGTGTGCTGAACCTGTCTACTGTGAAGGCGCCTGAATTGAGTGGCCACAAATTTTAACTCTTCAGCGACTAGAGCAAAAGCCTCAACCTCTCTCATAGCCTTCACCGTCTGGGTAAAGGATGGGAGGTTAATGCCAGATTTGGGATCCAGTGCCCAGGTCAAAAGCTCCTCGCCATAGAAGTCTCCTTCTTTCAGAAAACTACGATTAAAGAACCCACTTCTTCCACCATCTGTAGTTACACTCTCAAGGCGGCCACATATAATAAACAACATCTTGTCAACTGGATCTCCTTCTCGGACTATATAAGTGTGCTCTGTAAATAAGCACGGCTTCAGGTGCTCACAAATGGCATCAAGTAACCTCTCATCCATGTTCTCAAATAGAGGCACCTATAAAACACCAGCAAAGCAATCTTTTACATGAGGGAGTTGGTTGTTGAAAAAAGGTTATGTGTTCAATATGTGTCTTCTGAATACCAGGTTGTTGATGCTTTAACAAAAGCACTTGCTGCTCACAGATTTCTAATTCTCAAGGACAAACTGAATATGGTATCATCCATACCTGTAGAAGAACCTATCACTTCAGTTGACTCTTAGAGTTGACGATATTTTTTTTTTTTTTTTTTTTTTTTTTTTTTAAGTTGCTTCTGCTAGAACTTAAATTCTAGTTGATGAATGCTTATGCTTTGCAGACATAGTGGACATTGCAAATTTGTTGTTACATGTTTTAACTTCAAATTAAGTGTAAGATGAATCAGTTGTACAAAGTCAGGTGGCTCAAAGTAAGGTGGCCAGATTAAGGGAAGTTGTTGTTGAGTAAGTTGAAAAATCAACAAATGATTTCAGTAAGGTGGTTTGGCTTACGGGAGGATATTGAGTAAAGATAAAGGTGAAGAATGATCCTAGAAAGATGCTTTGGTTTAGGGAGGATATTGAGTAAAGAGAAGGTGCAGAAAGGCCTTCTAAGTCTCTAGTTTACAGTTTTTATGGTAATGTGAAAGTGAAATTTACAAGCTTGCTACTGGGATTAGTTTGTAATGTTTACAAAATATTGTAATAGGTAGTAATATGCAAAAAAAAAGCCACGTATTGTAAATGGCTAGTATAAATTAGCCCATTTTTCTGTTATTCTACAGTTAATGAAGAATCCTAAAATTCCAAAATTCTCTCTCTCTAAACCTTAGCTTTACTCTTCTTCTTCTTGATTTTTCTTTACTTCGTGATGAAAATCTTCATTAGAAGATCCTCCCATCAAAAAGCTGAAACATACCAAGGGCTCTACTACAAAATCCAAAGCCTCCAAGAACCCTTCATAGTCCCCAAAAGAGAATAAGAAATGAAAGGTTGTTGCTCAAGCTTCAAATGTTGGTAAACACCTTACCTTTGTCTCTCGTATGGCAAAATCACATTTTAGAAAGCATATTGTTTCTAGACCCATTATCTATGGAGCCCATGTTAGGTTGGAAGATTTTCCTAAAATTTTCTTGATTTTATTGAATAGGAATTGGGATAAATCTATTAGCAATCTAACTATCCCCTCTCAAACTCTTGTTCAAGAGTTTTATGCTAATTTTAGCAGTAAAATAGATAAGTTTGGCCCCCTTTTCAACTAGGTGTTTGTTAAAGTTTGTTGGGTAGATTTTTCTGTTGATGTGATTAGGTCTACTCTTGATTTGCCTAAAGTTGAGGAACCCGTTGTGTTAAGTGTCCAAAACTTGGATGAAATGGCCCAAAATTTGACAAGTGGGTCCATTTCTAAATGGCTTGAGTGTGAACACCTCCAACCAAATGTGCTAAAAACCTTTTATAAGGTTCTGTTCAAAATTACACTGACTAACTGGTTACCTTCCCTACACAACTCCTCAGTTAGGATAAAAAAGGCTCAACTGATCTATGGTGTAGGAGCTGGAAAAAGAATAAATCTTGTTTCCATGATCAATACAGACATTAAGGCTGATGCTAAGTCAAAAAGCACCTCCCAAGCCTTGTTTTTCCCCTCACTAATTCATAAAATCATTTCACCCTACCAACCTAAGAGACAAGCAAATGAGACTTATCTGAAGCTTAAGTTTATCACTTCATTTTCTTTTAAGAAATCAATCTCTGCTCCTAACATTCCAAAGGATGTTCCTTTTTCTTCAACTGTTGGTTCCTTTAAAACTAACACTTGGTAGTCCAAGCTTTTAGATGATATGCAAGCCTTGGAAAAGATAGTTGGTGATATGCAGCAACAAATGCTCTAGAACATAGTAGATCTTTAGTCCTCCATGATTGCTAGAATGGACAAGCTTGAAGATTTGGTGCAAAAGGGAAAGTCTGCCTCTGTTTCTCCTCCAACCACTCATGCTGCCTCTGTTTCTCCTCCAACTACTCATGAAGAAGTCCATGCTGCTGCTTAAAATCTCCAATTCAACCAGTAGAAAATCTTGAACAGACTACTCAAGTTCAAGTCTCCCCAACCCTTGCTACGTCTAATCTTGTTGAGTCTACTCAGCCTCAAGCTTCTAAATCTACTCCACAACAGTCATCTACTTCTCGTGGATGCAAAAAAGTCAAGACAAAAGCTGCAAGAGGAAAAATTCCTACTCGAAGTTCTAGTAGACATTGAAGGTTTGGTTCAAACCTTATGAATGAAGAGGGGGAGTAGGTGTTATGTTTTGAATTTAGATTTTTGTTGGTGGTTATATTTTAGAACTGTTTTTTTGGTTAAACTTTTTGTTAATGTTGGTTGGAATGTGAAGTGGTTAGGTACCCAAAAGGAGTTCTTTTGCTAAGGAGGAGTTTATTATTATTATTATTATTATTTTTAAATTTTTTGTTGCTTTCATATCTTTACGTTTTTGTGGTAATGATGTTTCATGAAGATATGTCGTGTAGTTTGTTTTAATTCTTTCTTGTCTCTATACTTGTAATTTTGATATTGTTTGAGATAGGTTTGTGTTGGTCCTTTGATCAAGATTGTGCTTCGTTCATAAGTTTGACAAATGAGGAGATTGTAAGTATTTTTTGTCAACTTATGAAGATGTGTGTGCATGTTCATTTTTTATGTTTGCACATTTATTTGGTTAAACACAATCATGTATGTTGTTTACACATGTCGTAACATATTGCATAAATGTGTACACATTTCTTTAGTTTGAACTTAGTGCAAATATGTGGGCACATTTAAGTCAGTTGTGTAAACATTTTTCTAGTCAGACCTTTAGTACAAGTGTCATGTTTTCATTGCTTGTTAGGATATTTTCCAATTCTAGAATCTAAGTGAAAGTTCCATATACTGGTGCCTGATATTTTAAAAGTGGTCTTGGAAAGTTTGTTATGCCTTTTTCAGATGTGGTCCAACAAAGTTGTTGAAAACTTTCTTAAAATAGTCCAACATGTGTAAGCCTTTGTCAACTGGTTGTCTAAGGGCTTGTTGAGCAAGGATTATATAATATCTTCTTCATCGTTGCGTTTTTCTGAACCTGAATATTCCATTTTGTTATTTGAAAGTTCCTAAAGAGTTTCTTCTTTGGTCAGGTTCCTTATATGGTTTTATACTCAAAATACATTGCTTATGTTTTGTTGTTCTGTGTTTGTTGGAACATGGTTCCTTTGACGAAAGCTTGAAGGGAGTTCAAGCTTTAGAGTTGAAAGTTGACTTCGGCCTTGAAGCTTGAGTAGAGCTCAAGCTATTTAGGAGGTTTCTTGGATTCAACCAAGTTGTGGCAAAACATTAGAGCAACCCGAGGGTGGAGTTAGAGTGTTGTGAAATGGGGAGTGTTTTATAGTGGTTTACTTAATTTCAACTCTGCAATTGACTTGCAAATGTTTGTTTCAGTCGATTTCTTCGTCTAGACATGGTCCCCTGGATGAGGTTACTAGTCGAACCATGGAAAAATCATTGTGTGTTGTACTTTATGTCTTTCATGATTGGTACTGTATTGATGATTGAATGCTCATTCCCAGAAGCACTAATGAACTCAATCAACTTATTCTGCAAGAGTTTAATGAACTTGATTAGTCATAAACTTTCACAGGCTTTAGAAAATTTATCCATCACTTTTGCATTTTCTGTCCATGGATTTTGCTTTTACAGTGGGTTGAGATTTCCAACTTGGCTAACATTTAACTGGGGTTTTAAGTGTTCCAATATTTTTGGTAACTGTTAAATAAAAATTAATTAGAGAATTTTGACCGTTTATTTATTAGTGCTACATGTCAAAGAATGGAAAAAGGTTCAGGTAAAGCTCAAGTTAAGAAAGGATCCTCTTCTTTTTTTAATCCGGTAGTGAACCACATAAAATGTTTGTGGGGCAGTTTTGATAAGTATTATCACTTCTAATTGTAATGTGAAATAATAAGTTATTGACAAAATTACTTCTAATTGTAATATGGAATAATGAGTTGTGACAAAAATCAATAAGTGGTTGATAAATTTTACAGTTCTTTATATGTGTACTCCTAAAATAGACATAAACCACTAGCCTTGTGATCAGATAGTAAGACTTTAGATATTTAGGTGGGACATCCTGAAATCTTATATTCGAGTCTCACAAAGTAGTCACTTACCACATTTGTGATTTATGTAGCCTATTGAACTTGTAAGGTGTTCAACGGACCACGTGATTAGTTGAGATTCGCATAAACTAATCCAAACACTCCGATTATTAAAAAAAAAATGGCCATAATTTTGCTTTAATATATTTTTATTAAAATAACGTTATATAATAAACTTTTTATATAATTTTATTCAGATGAAAGTGTTGATATATTATAGTATGAATGACTTAAATTTAAAAATAAATTAAACAAAATAAAAAGAGATGATTAGTAATATAACAGTAAAATGTGGAGAATTCATTGAATGTTATATATAATTAATATATGTAACGAAATAAAAATTTGTATTCATAACGAAAGTATTAAAAATTATTATAGGAAAAAGTGCAGCACTTGTTGAGTGGTTGCACGTGTATTAAAGGAGATTAGCACTAAATGAATAGACATAAAATTAATTTCTAACTGATCCTCTATTAAATATTAAAGTTTACAAGATCTGGCTGATTAATTAGAAAATTGACATGCGACACCAGTGGACAAAGAATTAATAAAAAAAGACTTTGTGTTTCCTTATTAAAGTAAAGGATACGGTATTAATTTAATCGTTTTTTTTTTTTAATCTATTATGTTACAAGATTGAAAGTAAAATGAATTACAATTACTATATAGAAATGATAAAAATTAATATTTCTGAATAATAATTAATGTATTGGTTGTGGTCGAAAGGAGTTCCACGAGTAGGCTGCACAAAATTTTCGTAGTGTTGTTGTTATGCCTAAAAAATCAGAGTTGTTGTAAGCTTATATTAGCGAGCACCAATAAGAGTTTAA